TATCACTGCACTGAGAATCAAAAGATAATTTGAGGGAAACTGCTGATTTCAATGTCAAGATGCTTCCCAACTCCTACACTGATTTTTTTCACCACCTGGTAGGACACTGTCTTCTGAGAGAGAGAAAGTTCAAGTCACATTAGGAGATATTTTCTGAAGGAACTGAAATGCTCGCTTTGTAGGATTTAATCCTCTTCAGATGGGACCAAGATAGCCGGTATCTAACAGGCAGTGGCATAACTCCAGAAAGCATGAGCAACGCAACAGTTGGCAAAGGGCAGTGTGGCTCTGGTGTAAATATGCTTCCTGCAGCTGACTCCATCTGAAATTATCTCTGGGCTGTAATACGAGGAGAGAAATCTAATACCTTTTCTTTTATCACTTAGACTGCCAGGAAGCCTTACACATTCCCACCTTTTTTGCAATACGTGGTTGGGCCAAATGGTTCCTCAGCTTCTTCAGTGATGCAGCTTGAACCAATGTTTCTGTGGTGCCACAGATGCCCATGTAGCAGACTCCATTAAAAGGCACTCTGTGTCTTCCAGAAAATATTGGACATCTGTGAATTGCTTATTTTCATGACCGCCTTCTATTTTCTTATCATGGCTGCAGCCACAGAGAGAAGCACACAGAGGCTTCTCTCTCGAAAAAGACCATTAGGACATTGGATATCTTCACTGAAAAGAGCTGTTTGCTTTTATTATGTTTAGCATTTTTTATCCAACTTTGGTTGTAGGGGACATCTGAAGACTACCTCTGCTGTTTTGTGTTGGTCCTATCACTTTAGAAATAAATTGGTTCAAATATCTTTACCCAGAATATGCTTCTGTTTGTATTTCAGCGGATGCATTAAACTGAAAGTGTGTTTATTTCACTTGTATGAAGTCTTGTATGAGATTCTCAGATGACAATGCAGGGTCTTTGCAGAGGTCTTCATGCTTCCCTGAAGAGAAAGTTGTAAAGTTTCTCTTCCTCTTGGGATGGGTTAGTACATGCCCTTTTCTAGGTAGTTTTCTTTGGTCAGAGGCTCAATGACTCTTACAGAGTGCCAAATCTCAGGGCAAAGGTGCAACCTCTCATTTAACTGCCCTTTAAGAGTATTTAGTTTATAGGGGCTGCCTTAGAGGTTGTGTTTTTTCCAGAGTCCATCTCTTGCAAAACAGTTTCAGGATGTTAATGCTGGTTCTGAGACAACTTGGATCATGTCTGAGAGCTTAGAAAAATTTACATGACACTCCTCAATATGCATGTCTGTCTTCATTCGCAGATCACCTGATGTGAGACACGGGCGTAGCGTGTTACAAGCATGTCTTTGGGCTGTTCACACCTACCAGTCATCCGTTGAATGGGATTGTGACAGTACAAAGGGAACTGGGGGACTTCAATGACAAATGAACCATATGTGCATTTCCATACTCCTTTTCCCAATTACCGGTGCTTAGTTGGAGAGCTCAGGGCTTCTGTCTCCCAGTGGAGTGCTGGGGTGTCCTGTGAGGCACAGGGTTTGAAATGTGACTGTCTCCTGTTTGCGTGTTGAGGAGTCACCTGCAGCTTCAGCCCCAGCATCACTGTCTTGCCTCATGTCTTCCTTAGAAGAGCTGGATGCACATGGTTGCTGAGCTGAACGTATGCCTCACTCTGATCTCACCAGGAAGGCACAAAGATTTTTTTTTGGTATTTGTTTCAGCTCCAGCTTCATGCTTTGATATAACTCTCTTCTTTTTCCTTGCTTTTTGACCAGCCACTTTCCTGCTTTGGCTACTCCTTTATCCCATGGGCCCCTGCTTGTTCTCTTGTCCCGTATCCATCTCAGGCCAGGCTTCTGCATCAGCCCTGATTTTTGGTTTTTGGAAGGGCGAGTAGTTCGTGTAGTCCTGCTCGGCTGCCTGCTCCGGTCTGCCCCTTAGCTTTTGTTCGACCCAAGACCTAATGGAGAGCCATTTGTAATGGACCACGTGCGTGCTTGTATTAGAAATAAGATCTCCCAAGATCTGTGGACACAAGTACAGCGCACAAACTACATCCAGTGGGAATGTACCCGCTGTCAGTCCAGAAGGTTTGTTGAGACTCATTGCAAAGAAATGCTGAGGAATGGTGGCTTTTCCCCTCATACGCTACTAAGAACTTTTAAGTCTCTGCGCTTCAGGGGCTTCTCAACCCCTGATGGAGCCTTTGCTGGGTCTCCACTCAAGAAGGTTTGTGGCTGCCTTTGATAGAACAGAATTATCCGTAAGGTTGGTGAGATGTGGGGAAAGGAACCCTTCAGGCCTCTGTATACCCAAGAAAATTTCCTTACCGTGACCTTGGGATTTTTTTCCTTTTTCTTTCACTGAATTTTCACTGAATTTTAGAGTTGGAAGGGACCATAGAGATCATCTAGTCCAACTCCCCTGCTGAAGCAGGATTGCCTAGAGCTAGAGCATGTTACTCAGGAGCATCCAGGCGGGTCTTGAAAATCTCCAAAGAAGGGGACTCCACACCCTCCCTGGGCAGCCTGTTCCAGGGCTCTGTCACCCTCACCGTGAAGAAGTTTCTCCTCATATTTGAGTGGAACCTCTTATGTTCCAACTTGTGCCCGTTGCCCCTCGTCCTCCTTTTTTTTTCCTTTTTCAAACAAGAATCTTCTAAACCCTTCCCTCTTCTCACTCTCGATTCACCTCAGTTTTATTAAAAACACTTTTCTTTTTCGTGAATGAAGGTTGGAAGCATTCCATATTTTCTTCTTGAGCATGTGGGGCTTTAGCCAAACAATTGCCAATAATTTCAAATGAAAAATACTTAATGTGGGAAATAACACAAAAAGAAGAATAAACATATTTTTCTTAGTTGCAGATCTCATTATCTCTCAGACCTATAATTTTAATTATTTCATGAACAGTCGTATTGATAGACTAGCAGAATAATTTAATTTATCCAATAAAATGAAAATACAATATACTGCGATTTTTTTTTTTTTCCTGTATCTTTATTTAACAGAGGGTTTGGAGATGTAAAAAATTTCTCCAGATGTGTAATGCAGAAATTATTTCTGGGTGGATCAGGTTATGAATCAACCAGGTTTTTTGTTTCAAAACAATTATGAACTTAAGCAGTGTAGTATTGAGATATGTAGCAATAGTATTTTGGGCAATGTGTTCGGCACAGACTGTGTTCTCTGTCTGTATTTATAGTTGTAAATGTGTACACTTCTGTTTTCAACTTGTGGTTTTTTGTTTATTTTTAAAAAATTAAGTAGAAAGTCTATATGTAGGTATCTTGGATCATAATTTTTTAACTTATATCTAAAAGGGATATGTATGCAGGTATGTAAATACACGTATTCCACACAATTGCTTAAGTGTTCTTTATTTTCAAGTAGATTGCTAAATATAGATGTATATCTATAATATCAATGCTTGTAATCCATAAAAGGATTGAAATATGTATCTTTTTTATAAGGTTATTAAAATGCCAATATTAGTGATTCTTTAAATAACAGAATTTCTAGAATTCATGATGCACTGTATTCAGAAATCTGAAGTAGCAGAGATTTATGTTTTGAAAAGGCTGTATTTCAAAAGGTGGTGGTTTTTTTTTTAAAATTAAAAATAGAGTTTAACATGGACTTGATCCAACTCCCAGGCAAGAAAAGGAACACACTCCCACCGACTTTAGTTGGGAACTCTAGATCAGACACCAGCTACAGATGAGGGGGTTTTTTTAGCTGCTATTAGGCTGATTGGAAAATGAACATGAAATAGAGATGATTGTGCAGACGTTTGTTTACAGGAAATAACAAACTTGGTGGTTTAAGGGCACAGAGACTTAATGGCTTTGATGTAAGGGATCCAAGTTCCAGGCTCCTTGTTGCAGACCAGGTTCTGCTCTTGAAGCCTGTGCAACTTGTGCTTTTCTCATTGTTCTTGAAACAAACTGGAAAAGAAACTCCAAGGAGATGACTGAAAAAGTCATACTAAATCAAATTCATATAATGTACAGCTTTGAGAAACAATATTTAAAAAGGAATATTGTGGAAAAATTATAAGATAAATTAAATTTGCTAGTATGGTTTTCTGTATTGGCTTTCCTGAAATATATGTAAGCATATATATGCATATATAGTAGACATTACGTAGAATATGCCATTTGGATGAAAATTAGAAGAATCATCTCAAATTTAAGAATTTTTGAATGTTTAATTTTTCAGTGTTAGTGCTGATTCCTTCTACTTAATATAGCAAAATCTTTATAGTATATTGGCCGTGAACTTTAAGTAAAGAATAATCTATCTAAGAAGAAATAACTGAACTATTGCTATTATTATATCACTATTATAGGTGAATTTTGGCAAGTGTAACACTAAAACATAAATTTGTGGTCTTTGTCGGAGATATGTCATCATCATTAAATATTCTGTCTTGTGAAAAACATCAGGGCTTCTCCTTCTTCCATTTCCAAACATTACCTGCAGCAAGTCCAGGACAATGTCTTGTTCCCTTAAACTTGACCATAGTATTCTTAATTTCTTCCCATGTTCCAGTGTCTTTTCCCTGCAATACATCCTTCATTTTCTCCCCTATAGTCTGCCCTCACAATATCTTCAGTTTCTTGTTATGTTCTCTACCATCTATTATTTTGGTGTTGAAACTGGGGAGAGGGAACACTGAGGGGGCTATATTTCTCTTTTTTTGACTGCCTGGGTGACCACTGCCTTTCACAGATCAAGAACAGAAGGTAAGACCTGGACTAGGGTACCCCCTTTTCTTACCATTCGGTGATTTTTGCCAAACTTACAGGAACTTGCTGGTTTTGTGGACAAAGTTTGGTTTAAGTTAGGTGGTAAGTTTTAAATTTACTTTTGGCAGATGAACCAAGGTGCACAGGGGAAAAAAAAAAAAAAAGGCTAAAAACATTGCCCCAAACTGTTTATTACCCCTTAATCCAAAATAATACACTTTTGAAAGCAGAGCTTATATAAAATATGTCCACTACTTAGATATTGACCTTGTGACTTTTTTTAGGTTCAGCAGATAGATCGTGTAGTAGAAGTTGTGGAGGAAACTATTAAAGGTAAGCATCACGCTTGAAACAATTTGAGCTGGTCTGACAGATGTAAGCATTAGCTAACAGAAAGCGCTGCTGTTCTGTTCTTTATCAACCTAAATGCTTGCTTTCTCCTCTGGCTGAACGTTTGGGCAATGAGATGCTTCTCCACGTGTGCTTCGTGTAAGTGGTAATTTCAGAGATCTTTTCTGGCAGGAGCTCTGTGGCCTGTCGGGTTCATAGGTAAATGATGCCGGGGAGACTTCATTTAAGTTGCATCGATGTAGGTGGGTGTAGAGTATTCCTTACAGTTTCTGTGCTCCCTTAATTCAGTGCTGTATCTCTGCTTTCTTACGTTTAGTCCCCTCGGGTTTTCTTCTTTTCAGATGTTTTGGCTCGCTTCCTTGAGCTTCCCTTAGCAGGACAGATAAATTACCCACTGGTTTAATGTTCTTTTGTAACTGTGTTCCTTGTTCTCTCTGGCCGTGTTCATGTGTGTGTACACACAGTACTCTGCAGTGAAGAGGGGAAAAGGCAGCATTGTTTCTGCAGCCTGACTAGTAAATATTTGCTATTAAATAAATATATTTGTCTGGGTCTTTCTGGGTTACCTAAGTTTGTCTCCATTACTTATCAGGCCATAAAAATTACTGTTCCATGAAGCTTTAAATTACAAGGTTTAGTTTAATTGGCTGTACTTTCAATATAAACAAGTGTCTGGTCCACAAGACATCGATGGAGTACGGTGTTTTTGAAGTACAGCGTGAAAGTGTAAAAACAGCTCAAAATTTTAAAAGAAAAGTAGTTTCTATCAAGGAATTGTGTAGTGTGGTGTAAGGCTTCTAAAATTTGTGGTTTGAAGGCCTTAGGATTTCATATTGTTACGAATGCTTTCAAAAATGAAACCTGTACTCCTCTGTACTCCCAACCAAAACTTTTCCCAGTTTGTCCCTACCTTATGCCATCCATTTCGGGCGGGAGGGCTGGAGGGGATGGTACAACCTATTGTACTATACAAAGAGGAAATATATTCAATGTATTCATATTTGTTATTAAACACAGCAAACTGTTTTCCCAGAAACATCGTGGTGTTTATGACAATGTGTTGGAGATAAGGATGCTTCATGATTTTTACAACAGCACAGCATTTCAGATCCCTATCTGATTTTCCTGAATTTTATTTATTCTTAAGGGACTAAGATGATAAGCTGGGTCAGTGTGCCCTCCTTTTACAAAAAATGGCCTTTGTAATATTTATACTGACTCCAGACATTACTGCTTTTTCAGGAACAGAGTTACTCAGGTTATTGTGACTGAATATTATATGACTAGAAAAGTCACAATCTAGTAGCGGTTGTTAAAGTCAGGCTTTTCATTGACTTGATTTCAAGATTGCATTTTACATATTGATGTAATTCTGGAAAATAATGTTAAGGAACATTTAAATTAAAAGGGGGAATTTTGGGAAAGATTTTTGTTCCTTTCTAGCTTACTAGAAGCAATTTGAATAAAAAGGAGTAAGCGGGCTCCTGAATTCCATACATAGTGCCAGTTCCTTCAGGTATTTCTAAACAGGTAATGGAACACAGGATTTCTGAAGTTTTATTGGGAAAAAAAAGTGAACAAAAATGGCTCCACATGAGAGAGACATGGACGTAACGGAGAGAGTCCAACAAAGGTCCACAAAGAGGGTTGAGGGATTGAGGCTGCAAAATCTCCCCTGTGAGGAAAGGCTGAGAGAGCTGGGACTGTTCAGCCTGGAGAAAAGAAGGCTCAGGGGGATCTTATCAATGTGTATTAAATACCTGAAGGGAGGGTGCAAAGAGAACAGAAGAACCAGTGGTGCTCAGTGATAGGACAAAAGACAGTGGGCACGGACTGACACACTAGAGGTTCCTTCTGAACATCAGGAAACACTTTTTGATTGTGAGGGTGACCAAGCACTGGCACAGGTTGCCAATGGAGGTTGTGGAGTCTCCATCCCTGGATGTATTCAAAAACTGTCTCAATATGGTCCTGGGCAACTGGATATAAGTGGCCATGCTTGAGTGTGGGGATTGGACAAGATGACCTCCAGAGGTAACCCTTTTGTGAAAACAGAATTTCAATTGGAAAGAGAATCAACACATTGACGGGGTCACAGCCTACGATAATGTCTTACTTTTGCAAAAACCAATCATAAAAATAGATTTACCTGTAATCATACTTTTTTCATTTACATTTCTTTAAAGAAAATGCATTAATTTATGTATTTGGGAATCACCTTCATCTAACAGTAGAAGAATGTGAAGCTCTTCTTGACTGTGTATAAACACAGTAAAGAGTGTAACCAGGAACTTCCATTATCCGAGTGAAGTAAAATACTATAGATAAGCCAGAGTATTAAGAATATATTATACTGTGAAATAGATACATGGTAGAAGATTAAATTAATGTATGTAAACCCAAATGAAACATTAACCCTCTGTCTTCATAAATCTACATCATTTGTAATAACTTCTGGAGCTGCAAGTGGGTTCAGGAGGCAGAGGTGGTGCAGGACAGGGGATTAAATACAAATTCTAAATTCAGAGCCAGCTGATACATTAGTGAGTTTTAAGCTGGATATCTGTCATAGTTGTATGATACAATTTTCTTTACCTATCTTTAAATAAGAAAATAAAGAGGTTGTATGGGTGGTATACCCTCGTGTCACTATGTATATAGATTGAAAGTTTTTAAAATGTTTTGACTGAGTATTTAAGTTGAGTAAGTTTTAACTGCATTGCCTCTGTGCTCTGTAGTTGTTGTTGTCTCTGTAGTTGTTGTTGTCTCTGTAGTTGTTGTTGTCTCTGTAGTTGTTGTTGTCTCTGTAGTTGTTGTTGTCTCTGTAGTTGTTGTTGTCTCTATTCAGCTGGCCTAACTGAATTGTCCTGATTTTCTGTCCAGATTCCAAGGTGATTATCCTAGTTGCCAGCTTTAAGTTGTCCCCTTTCTTAAAGGATACCTTAGGTTTTTCTTTGGTGCTTGAATTTTGTAGTGTGCAGCCTACAAAGAGGAAAACATTTTAAAAATAATTTGCTGCCTTCCCTGCTCCTTGTTTTTTCCCCCAATAAAATGACTCCCCTATTGGAATTGGTTGAAAGCTTACTGTACTTCCAAAGAAAATTACATTCTTTGAATTATTTAGAACTGTATATATATAGCTTTATTTCTCAGTCTTAAGGATATTGTCAGGAACTCTTCAGAGCAGTGTTATTCTGCTGGTTCAAGAGATGGTTTTGAGAGGTAGATCTTTATGGTGGTCTTTAACTCATCTGTCTGAAAACAGCATAATTTCCACTTCTGAGCTCTCCATTGAGATAATCCTCATAAACACTTTTTATATGGCTGTATCTTTTTATCCTTCTTCATCAGAAAATGGAAAATTAGGATACTTATGTTTATTATTGCATTAACAGCCTAAAGAGACACAGAATTTTTAAGAGACCCTGTGATGTCTCATTTTTATCTCACCCTGACTTTTATCATGACCCTTATGCAGCTCCAAAATTTCCTAATCATCAGGTAAATTATCAGATAAACTGTTACTTCCAGAAGCAATCTTTAATAACTGTGCAGTATTTGTATGCAGGTCATGTCTGATTAGTACTGTGTCCCAAGATGTATTTTAACTAGAGGCATATTCAGCTACTTTTACAATGATATTGTAACTTAAAATCTGAAATCTCTATACTGCCTACTAGAAGCTATACAAAGTAATTTAATCTTGGCCTCAGAATTAGGTTTCTCAAAGTGACAGCCACAATCGTGCAGCCAGAGCGTGTCAGTCTTCCTGATACATAGAACAGTTTCATCATGCAAGGCTCTAATTTAATAGCTTAGTAAACCTTGCTTTGTCTGCACTTATCCCAAATTCCAAGGCTGGATTACAGCAATTTTTACATCATCAGGGCACCTAGTTCCACTCACGTGATTAGTTTCCCGGTAATATGTTATGACGACATAGTATGTTAGGAGAATATTGCTAAGGATTTGCAGTGTCTGTGAGCTAGGAGAAAACAGGGGCATAATTGATGTATGTTCCATCATTAAGTAAAATTCCTGTACATAATTTCAAAGCTGTTTTGGCTGATAAGTCTCTGTAGCATGTCACAATAAGATGACGATTTGTCTGATGGGAACCACAGAATGTCTTTATGGTGATGGCTCAAGTCAGCATTTGATGAACCACTTGTAAAAGCTGTCTTTAAAAAAAAATACTCTGTGTGTACAAGTTTGGATATAAACAGTTTACAGTAGGCAAGATAATACATTTATTCTGTAACTTAAAGGAGAAATCTTAACTACCTAATGTAGAGATTCTTCTTGGTTTTTAATTCAGGCCTTCAGAGATTTGGATCTTTCCTCCCTTTCTTGAATTGCTAGTTCTTAAATCCCATGTTATTAAAGCTTTCTGGGGGTGGGAGTCATGGAACCAGAGTATTTGTGTACAATCTGCTTTTAGCTTAGGCCTTAGGGAGATGAGGGACACAGGTTGAATTGAGTTTAGTCCATATTGTGTCTGTCTAATGCTTTCACAAAACATAGTTTTACAATGGGTCATTAGACTTGATTGTAAAAAACAACCAAAGGAAATTACTTCAGGGTTGAGCCTTTTATACTTCACATAACCGTTCTTGGTTTCAGTCACGTTGACCTGTCTGGTGAAGTTGCCCATCCATTCCCAGTTTAAACATTAACTGATATTTACTAACTGTTAAGTTCCCCTCATGTGGTTAGTAATTATGGACTATGGATGGTTGCGGTGTCAGTCTGTATGAAAATGAGCAGAGAAATAGTACCTGTATTATATAGACTAAAGTGTAGAATTTATGCTTGATTTCCCTACCTTAAAGTGAGTGTGTGGGTGTACATATGTATGTATATGAATGATAGCATATTAAATAGTATTTGTGTGTGGTGCTTGATTTCATCGTAATCTGCTGATAACAGTAGATAAAATGGTCTCTTTTCAACTTCTGTGGTTGTGGGCAGAATAGCCTTGA